GATGACGCCGCCAATAGCGGCACATCATAGTGTCCCCACTCATTCAAGAACTCGGACAGCGGCTCTACGCCTGTGAGCCATCGACAACCTCCACAAGCACCCCAAACCCCAGCCCGTGTAGTAAAGATCGATGGAATAGCCGTCAGCTCTTCAGATAAGCACGTACCCACCATCTCGACGGGCGGTGAACGACTATGGGTTAATCTGTCAGAGCTCGACTCGATCGCCAAGGTTGCCGCATACGCCAATCTTCAGGACCTTCATCTGACGATGGGTGCGCAGTATGATGCGCTTCTTGGCTAAGTACGACAACATAAGATACGGCGATGCAATTGATGTTGGTGAACTCGTACGCATCATGATGCAGATGGGTGCCTACGATGTCGTTTACAAATTAAAAAACGATGTCTCCGGGATTGAGTAGAAATTGGAACTATTGTTACATCCAGTTCGCGGAGATCGAAGCTAGAGGGTTCAGCATCAAGTACATGGATCGAGCTGGTTGCTTACAACGAGCGCAAGCAACATGTACCTAACCTACCTAATCTAAAGCCATAAGACACATGGGTGGTGAAAAAGTAGCACATTACCTTTCTTCCATCTTTCGCCCACGTCCGCAATGAGGCAGAACTCCGTTACCTTGTGTGCTACTGTCTTCTTCTTACGGTCGTCAACAATCCGTATCGCTTTTACGACATTAACGTGCCCCGGGAACCAAGGTTCATCGGCGTGCTTGTCGAGCTAAGCAAGAGGCAATGGGAAGATGAGAGGTTCGAAACTTTGTACATGACGGGTGTTTTGCCCAATAATAACGATGTCTGGGACTGACTTTCCAAGCTTGACGTACAATAGGGAAGGCGGGTAGAGCATCATTGAACATCAGAGAGTGAAGTTGAAAGTGAAGCTCCGGCGGTTATCCCTGAGAACGCGACATAGCAACTTGAGAAGAGGAAGAGGCGTCGGAAATTCGGATCTGAGAGGAAAATATCGAGAGACGTTTCTGTATGTCACACAAGAGGTTTGCAGGCGAAAAGGGAGTGGGGGGATGGAAATATGTATCCCAGGCGTGCGTGGATCGTTGATTCGCACATTGGATGGAGTCAGTCAGAAAACGACTTAGCACAATTTAGTACAGCCGGGCGATGACCAAGAGGTCTCAGTTACCGACAGAACTACAATCAGGCTGCATGTGGGGCCATGCTTGTGGCGTGCCAGTAAGCGGACCCCACACTGTATCTACGAGGAAGGAGATCAGCACACCTACCACGAAAGACACGATTGCTCTCTCATCTGCCTGTATACTCACCATACTTCTCACTTCATTATGGCGCACTTTCCTCGCCGCCCTCCGTCCGGTGTCAACGTCATCATAGTAGGCGCAGGTTTCGCGGGCATCGCAGCAGCAATAGAATGCGATCGCAAAGGCCACTCAGTCGTTCTTCTTGAGAAAGCGGAAAATGTGGAAGACATAATCCGGTTTGGCGATATCATCTCGTTCGATCCCAACGGTGCGCGCAACTTCGAACGCTGGCCCGGCGTCATCGAAGCGATGAAGGAAGTGGCACGGAAAACAACATGGCTGGATCTGTACCACTGGAAAGGGCAGTTTGTCACCAGGCAGAGTTTTGTGTCCGAACAGGAATGGGGGCCGAGAATCAATGGACATAGAGGAGAACTGTACAGTATTATTCATCAGCATGCTGTCGATCGGGGAGTGAATATTCAGTGGGGCAAACGTGTAACTGATTACTTCGAGGACGATGAAAAGGCTGGCGTGGTAGTCAATGGAGAAGAGATGATTGCCGATGCAGTCATTGCAGCAGAGGGAGTTCGTTCCCGCGGCCGTAAGATTGTGCTTGGTTTTGACGACAAACCGAAGAGTTCGGGATACGCTGTATATCGCTCATGGTTCTCTGGAGATGCCATCAAAGACAACCCGATCCTGAAACATCTCGTAGATGGAGACAGTCACTCTGGGTTCATAGGTCCAGATCTTCACTTTCTGGTATCGTCGCTCAAAGACGGCAAGGAGTTCAATTGGGTGTTTACTCACGTAGACGACGGGAATATCGAGGAGGACTGGCAATTCCCAGGCAGAGTGGAAGACTGCCTGAGGTATGTAGAAGGATGGGCACCCATCGTGCAAGAGATTGTAAGGTCGACGCCAAAAGGCGCGCGTCTCATCGATCATAAACTCGTCTTCCGCGATCCGCTGCCGACTCTCATCTCGCCACAGCACCGTATCGCTTTGATTGGAGACGCAGCGCATCCCTTTCTTCCAACATCCATCCAGGGTGCCAGTCAATCCATCGAAGACGGTGTTGTACTGGCGGCATGTCTGGAACTGGCTGGCAAAGAAAGCATTCCTCTAGCTGTACGAGCATTCGAGAAGATCCGCTACGAAAGGGTGCACAAAGCACAGGCGATGGGGGTTAAGACGCGCGAGCGATGGCACAAAGCCAACTGGGATGAGATAGCGAAGAGGCCGGAATCCATTCACCTAGCACGCGAGGCATGGCTGCTAAATTTTGATGCAGAGACCGACTGCTATGAGAGGTTTGATGAGGTTGCTAGGAACTTGCGGGGTGCACAAGCGCGACTGTAGGGAGCTTTGCTTGGGTAGCATCGTCGGTATATTGTGAGTGTTTGACGGGCCGAGCAGCTCACCTTGAGTGCACGGTATCTGCACGTGGCGTGCATCAGCGCAGGATAGCTTGCGCAGGCCTCACGCTACCTTTCTTATTTGAAGTAGTATTTGAACAACCTGGATTTTGGACAATGGTGATTCGCATCAATGATGTGGATGAGCTCTACGCTACTGCCGTCTAATGTCGCGCTAGCACCTGTTCCCGTCTATCACGTCACAACCGTGCACCTGCTACATGGGGCTAGCATGGAGGATGTTATCTATGTGCTTACAGCTACTGCAGTGTTTCTGTGCAACACAACAACTTTGCCAACTACCTATTACGAGAGCTTTTCGACTCACATTCGCCGCATCGTATAAGCCAACACGGGATTTACAGTGGTTGGTGATCAAGATGCACCTTCCTACGCTGTTCTGCTTCGTCGCCGCTGTCACCACGACGGCAGGTGTCCAGTTCGGCGACTTGAAAGATCCTATCAACATCCTAGGCATCGGACGCAACGACATCGAAATCTTCTTGGGCATTCCCTATGCTCATGATACCAGCGGCGAAAACAGATTCAAACCACCGATTCCCTACGAATACTCTCCAGGTACTACCATCGATGCTACCAAGCCTGGTCCCGCATGTCCACAACCATTGGGTGTGCTCTATCCACCTCTTGGATTGGGCAATATAACTGAAACATCCGAGGACTGCCTGAATTTGAACGTAGCGCGGCCAAAAGCGACTGACAGAGTTGGAAAGGGACCACTGCCAGTTCTGGTATGGATACATGGAGGATCTTTCTGGTGGGCAAGCAACACGGAGCCGACGACTGCGCCTGACGGAATGATCAAGCAGTCGGTAGAAAATGGGGACCCAATCATCCATGTGGCCATGAATTACCGTCTCGGGTTCTTTGGGTTTGCCAGTTCAGACTGGTTGAAAGAAGAAGGAAGCATGAACGCTGGTCTACGTGATCAGCGCGCTGCTATCGAGTGGGTCCGCACCAACATTGCTGCTTTTGGCGGGGATCCGGAGAGGATTACGATTGCCGGCCAGTCTTCCGGCGGCCTCGCAATCGGAATGCAGATTATGGCTTACGGCGGAGAGAAGCCACTTCCTTTCGAGCGAGGTATCGCCCAGTCTCAGTCCCTTGAGCCTGGTATCACAGGGAATTTCGCCAAGGATGCGATGATCGCGCTGGTCAATTACGTGGGGTGCAACACTACTGATGTGGACGCTCCAGGGACGATTGAGTGTCTACGGGGACTAGATACTGAAACACTCTTTGAAGCCTCGAACGCGACGTATCTCAGCGATATCGCGCATAATATTGGGGACATCTGGTTGCCACAGGTAGACGGCGATTTCCTTCCTGCGGCACCAAGTCAGCTCATCGCAGAAGGACGCTTCGGTAACGCTACCTTTATGTCCGGCTGGATGGAAGGCGACCTTAACGTGTACACCAACACCTCCATCGCAACCGCACAAGATACGTACGACTTTGTTCGCGACTACCTACCGGCTATGTCGGAGGAATCTCTCACTCAGTTACTGGACTTGTACCCGGTAGAAGAATTCGGAACCAGTGTGAACCTAACAGCAGAGTTCTATCGCTCTGCACGCATCTTCCGCGATATCCTCATGGTGTGCCCATCGCTACATCTGGGTGTTGCAATTGACAAAGTGCACAAAGCGCCAGTCTACTTCTACAACTTCAACCAGACAATACTTGATCCCATCCTCGAGTACACCGAAGACGTTGTTGGCTTTGGCGTGGTACACACGTCTGAGTTTGCGTACGTCTTCGACAGCATGCAAGTGTACAACAAGACGGACTACCCGTTTGACCCGACCGAGTATGACTACGAAATTGCTATGCGAGCAAGCCGGTCGTGGAGCACCTTTGTGAGTCAAGGAGCCCCGGCAGAGAGCGGATCACAATCCACCACATTGTTGAACTGGGATGAGGCATTTAGCCGGCCAGGTAAAATCTCTCATTTGCGAACTGCGTGTGAGGCATGCGCTGACTCCGTACATTGACATTTAGGCGGTCCGTATGTCAGGACGATTGGTGGCGCGCATCCGAGCAATAGTGCGCTGGGCATGGCGAACGCGACAAGAGAGATGGCAGAACAGAGATTACAGGAGCGATGTGCTTTCTTTAACAGTCCGAAGATCATCCAAGCGCTTCAGTATTGAGGAGTAGCCCAGTCTGAGACAAGGTCTCTCAGTATGGGCAGTACAGGGTGTGAAATACATAAAGACGTTGTCGACGATACAACATGAAACGGGAATTTTACAAGGGGTATCTCAGATCGATTCACGACATAATCAAGCTTCTACGACTGCATGTGGCGCACCTCTCTACTCTGCCTGAACTTCCTTGCTGTCCGTGGCCAACCCCAAAATAAACTCCCACTCCTCCTTCCTTACCCTACTCACACTCAGTCTCGAATTCGTGACAAGCTGCATATCCTTCAACGGCCCCTCTTTAGCAAACTCTTTAATCTTCGCTAAATCTATCACATGCTCAAACTCGCTCACAAACTCGACGTCTACACAGAACCATTTGGGCTTCTCCCTCTCGCTCTTCTTGTCATAGTAGGGGTCCTTGGGGTCAAAGGCCGTCTCATCGACCTTTGCTTCGTCAACAACACGCAGTATACCTACGATACCCGAAGGCTTGGCGTTGGAGTGGTAGAAGAAGCCCAGGTCGCCTTTGCGCATGGCCTGCATATTGTTGCGTGCCTGGGGGTTGCGGACGCCGCTCCAGGGCTCGGGTTCTGTGCAGGCGCGCAGGTCGCTGATTGAGAAGGCGACGTTTACGCCGTTCTCGTAGCGCGCGAGGGGCTCGGCTTTGAGCAGCCAGTAGACTTCTTGGGCGCCGGTTGCGTCGCGGTTGGTGGATGAAACAGGCGCGGGTAGAGAGTCCGTCTTAGGGGGTTTAGGCTTGGCTGTAGCAGCTTTTTTGGGCGGAGGAGCGCTGCTGTCTGTTTTGTCTTGGTCGGCGCCGTCTTCGCGGTCACGCTTGCGACGCGTCGCCTGCCGGGCATCGCGCTTGGGCTGTGTCTCTTCGGCGGACGAAGTGTCGTCTTGGTTGTAGTCCGGTGCTGCCGCTGCCGTTTGACGCGTAGATCTTCGTGTGCCGGCCATGACGAGTTTGTGGTAGCGTTGCAATGCTCGTCGACGTGGAGGTGCTGTACGCCGCGAGCGTGCAGCGCTCTGACGCTATTGGCTGACATCTCTCGTGTTTGCCGCTTGTACTTCGCTCCGCACCTCGACACAGTACTTCAGAAAGAATAGAGTGCGCCTTTAACTTAGACTGCGGTCTAGCTCTAGGTTAGGCTTAGTCTTTAAGATTGTGCTTTGGTATACAGTATAATTGCGATAGCTTTAATGTTGTTCGCTGGAGTGCTGTCTAGTGCGTCACCGCAGTACCGTGGATGTGTGTGGAGGCAGTACTTGCCACCCAAAGGACGTTGGAAGGACATTGGAAGGACATTGTATGGGCAGAACCCCGTCAAAATGTCCCTCGACGACCCAACTAGCCGTGCTCCGCTATGATACTGTGTAGGCACCTCCTCGGTCTGAGGCCATGCGCGCGATCACGCGCACCGCGACGCAAAGTCAAATATTCAAACCAGAACCCTCGGCCTTGCCGTGTCGCAATGCTCAAGCGGCAGTACCCGCGCAGCCCTTGCCATAACCCAGCGGTTTCCTCCACGTTCAATTTCGACCCATACCGAGCGCATCGGAGAGCCGCCACAAGCAGCAATCACCCAAACCACGGCGCGGCAATGAGAGGCGCAAACAACCATCATCCAAGCCCTATCTTAGGCCCGGCCGTTGCATGCACGATCCGGGACCGCCGCTTTCCTCCCTAGCGGTCGTGTCCTTGCACATCACGGTCCGGCCAACTGCCTCAACCTAGACAAGTTCATGCAACTCTACGGAGCACCCCACTAAATTTATAGACCCGACAACGCCGCTACGGACGTAGCTACGACGGAAACTCCGGTTGGGTAGTAGTACCTACCTAGCAAAGACCAACATTCGGCCGACATGGACTCCATTTGTGAGGGACAAGATGTAACGAGACTTGGCACTGGTATACATAGAAGACTCTTGCCCTTTCTTTACCAATTACAACAAGCCATTTCAAGTACGTTGCATTGAGATCCACCATGGACGCTTTCACCAAGAAGACCCTGAGAACCTCCCGAGGCATCACATACACCTACTACACGTGCTCTGGCAACACGTCTCTCCCAACCCTCCTCTTCCAACACGGCTTCCCCGACCATGCCGCCATGTGGGCAGACGTCGCTAGCTCTCTCCGACCACTAAACCACCCCGTTATCATTCCCGACATGCTGGGCTACGACGGAACGGACAAGCCCACAGACCCATCCGCCTACACCTGGGACCATATGACCAACGACATGGTGGAAATCCTCAATGCTGAACAAGTGCCAAGATGCATCTCCATCGGCCACGACTGGGGCTCCGCAGCCGCAAGCCGCCTGTACAACTACCACCCCGAACGCGTTGTCGGCTTGGTCAACCTGAACGTCGCCTACACGGCACCAAGTCGCAAACCCTTCGATCTTGACGCCGCAAACGCCCTCATGAACAAGATCTTTGGCTACCCATCGCTATCGTACTGGTACCTCTTCACCGCGCCTGACGGACCAGCACTTCTATCCCGCGATATAGAGGCCATGTTTAACATGATGCACGACAAAGATGGATTGAAAGAGTTCTTCTGCACACCCGACACCATGCGTGAAACACTCTCCGGGCAAAAGGAACCAACCTTTTCTCTCCGACCCTATGCGCAAGACCCAGCTTTCAAGAAGGCGTTCCTTGATCGTATGGCGCGCGATGGGTTCGAAGCGCCCGTGTGCTGGTACAAAGCCATGACAGGCAATCTGCAGCATCAAGTCGATGTCAAGTTGCCTGAAGGGAGAGAGATTGTCAATGTACCCACGCTGTACATCGGATGCAGAGAGGATGTGGTGTGCAGACCCGAAGCCATGTATGAGAGTATTAAAAAGGGCTTGTTGCCGCAATTGGAACAAGCGGATATGATTGATGCGGCGCATTGGGCGACGTATGAGAAGCCTGCCGAGGTGGTGAAGCGGTTGGAGGATTGGCTGAAGAGGAAGTTTGCGCAGTGAGTCTGCGTAGCATCGGCAGCTGACTATCTATGCATAAAACTTAGACAGCTGTGACATGGTTTGCAGGAAACAGTTTTCCAACACCACAGTAAACACCCCAATACCAGTCTCCATTGATATCAGCTGCTTCCCTTATCTCTGCTCCTCTAGGAAAGGATAATTCATCTTCTACTCCTTCATCCGGCAGATAGCCCCATCTAGCCAGTAATCTCAAGCCTATACCGCCATCTGGTGGGTACCGCTGTACTCTGGCCATTTCGTCTTCTTCTTTCAGTGCGTAGCCGCCTACTAGATCGCGGACAACCATGCGCCGTTGTGCGCCGTCACGGTCTTCGAATCCTACAATGTACATGCGATGGCTGCGGAGGCACTTGCGCCATCCGTTTACGCCGTCTTCTTTGGTGATGCGACCGCTGATGACGAGTTTGTGGTAGCAGCTCATGCAAATGTCGTAGTCGCCAGTGTTACACTTGAGGCAGTGATAGCGTGTGTTTGATGGTGGGATAGGGTAACTGCATATGTTACACAAGGTTGTAAAGGTGAGAGGGCGGAAGATGAAATTCGCAATGGTAAAGTACCCTGGCCCTCGCATAAGAGACGCGGATTTCGGTGTCAACGGAGGGGTTGTGGGTGTTGCGTCGAGGTCTGGGGGAGCAAGATGTCCATCCTGACGTGGCGTAGAGGGCGCGGAGGGAACTGTGTCAGTAGCAGACTGCGAGTCTCTTGTCTTGCGGGCAACGGGAACAAGAGGATGCGTACAGTGATGCCCCTGATTAACGCAATCATTGCAATAGCCCCAGTCGCCGTCGTTGCAATAGTCACATTTCCAGTAGCAGGCGTTGGCGTATGCCTTGCACATATCGCAGAAGACGCCAATTTCTACCCTCTGCTTGGGGTCATCCTCGCTCATGAGCACATGTGGTGGTGTCGTGGATTCCGTCAAGGGCGTCATGGGTCTGCGATATCGGTGCCCGACCAGGATATGGGGATGCTCGTGATAGGGCGGATAACCACCCTCTGGTGCTTCGCGCTCATACCGGGGCCAAGCAGTCCAACCAAAGCCGTACCAATGCTTGCATCCTCTGCCAAGACGATAGCAGCGAAGACACACGTTGTACTCGCCACCATCGCAGCGTCGACAATTGTAGTGAAGCTCGTACTGTATGTCGTTTTTACCACAGCGTTGGCATGCCACATGGGGCTCTGTATATAGGACAGGAGTACCTAGTGATGAGCTTGAAGCTTGTCTCGATCGAGTCTCGCTCACGGTCGGATCGGGGGTGGAACGAGGGAAAGCAGGAGGCGATAGCGAGGGGGGAGTAGTACTGTGAGAAGAGCGTGGCAGTTCGGCTGTGGTAGGGTCGGTAGTACGGCGAGCCGAAGGAGGCTGGAAAGGCGTGACGGCAGGAGTAGAGGAAGACAAGGGCACAGCTGGAGTGCCAACTGTAGCTAGAGAAGTCGTTGGACTGCCGCTGTTGGGCAGGTCGAAGCCGAGGCTCTGGGGCGAGCTAGGACTTGACACTGTCTCATTGTTGTTATTGTTGTTGCTGGCGTGGAGACTGATGCGGAACTGCTCTCGAACGTCGAGCCTATTTCTCTGCTGATTTTCGGACTGCCGACGTGGCCTTGGACGAGCGAGTTCCGATGATGAATGACGGTCGCCGGTCGCCGGATTTGCAGGAGCCGAGCCAGGTGCAGGGCGCTCTACCCTCGTGGCGGATCGAGAGCTGCCCTGGCTTGACGATCGCTGGCGCGGTGCCCGCCCGCCTCGATTTGCGGCGTCGATGAGAGCAGGTCTGGATATGGGGGGTCCTGCTGCCGTCTGGGGCGTCGATGCGCCACTCTCGGAACGTCCATGCCTTCTCCTGCGCGCAGCTTCGTCGTCCAGACGCTCCCGCCTCTCCCTCCTCTCGCGCTGTCTTTCGGCATGTCGCTCTGCCTGCCGCCGTCGCACAGCCTCGGCTATCCTCTCGGTGATCTCGTCTTCCTGCGCAGTGCCAATCTGGTTCAGGTCGACGCCCTCGGACACCAGCTCCTCCAGCACCTGGCGCACGAGATCTTCGTCGACGTCTTCTGCGTCGAGGTCCGAGGCGCTCAGCAGAGAGCGCAGGCTGGACTGGTGCTCGATAGCGCGGGGCGGTATGACGGCCCTGGACGGGGATGCGCCGGGCGGGTTTTGGCTGGCAGACCGCCTTTGATCGCGCGCCCTGCGGGATTCGCGGCTCCCGTTGCGGCTTCGCTCCCTTGTTGTGCGCTGATGGGTGTCATCGCGCTCATCCCGGCGCCTGAGCTTGGGTAGCACATTGTCGCCTGGCCGGTATCTGTCGCGGTCCGCCTGCTTCTCTTGGGCGCTTTTGCCGCTCTGGGGGTTCGCCTTGAGGAAGATGTCGAGCAGCGTGGTGACGGTGGCATTGGGCTGTGTGGTGCGCACCGAGGCCCGGCACGAGGGGCAGGTGTACGGGTGTATCGACGTGGCGGTCGAGGCTTGGAAGGCGAACCACTCCTTCAGACAGGCGCCGCAGAAGGTGTGCAGGCAGTCGAGCAGCGTGAGCGGCTGGTAGAGCACGTCGGTACAGATCTGGCCATGGCCGAGTTAGCAGCCGCCTCGTCGTCGTGCTCCTCGACTTACCGAGCACGTCAGTTCCTTTTCCAGGTCGCCCTGGACTCCGCCAGCGCCCTCGCCCTCGGCCATGGTTCGTCGCAAACTGCTCGTCAGGCGCCTGCGGTTGACTCTCAGCTAGACTGCACACTTGGCGAGCCTCGACGGTACAAGGCGCCGTAGCATATGCATGCCAGCACACGCTTTCATCGGCCCGCTGCAGCCTCTATGTTGCTTGCCGCAACGAGCGCACACTTCTCATGTCGCTACGTCACGCGACTTGCGCACGTGTCAGCACCTCAGAACCCCGGAGTCGGTGAGAGACGGCATCAAACATCCGACATGTCGTGACCAGCACAGGCGCCTGACGCCTCGTCCGTCTCGCACCCTCCCATTCTGGCATATATCAAGCTATCCGGTCCTGTAGCACCTGATGTTTGGTACATCGTTTCACCTGTGCTGCAGCCACCGCAACTTGCCCCTGGCCCAGGCGTACCCAAGACACGGTTCACGTCACTGGCTTCTTTCCGCGACCGTCAGGTATCCACGCGTTCACGCCTGAGGTTTCGAAACCTTGATCTTCAAGTCAGTGCCATCGCATGCAAGTCCAAAACAGAAAGACTGGGCGGCAGGCTCATAAATCGCATATCTACAACTATATCATATAATCCCTTCCTTCCTCATACATTCTTACATACAGGCTCCCACAGTCATCCCCCCTTTCAACCATTATTCTTATATACAGAAAAGACCGATTGGCTAGTCGCCAGCACATAGCCGTCACCTTGCTAATCCTTCACATCATCTTCTCAATCAAGTACCAAGCCTAGTGCTCAGTTGTTGTTGTTGTTGTTGTTGTTGCCACCGTTGCCGCCCTGAGACTGTTGTCCAGCACCATTACCTGCCTGTTGGGGCTGGTTACCTCCGGCCTGGGTCTGACCCTGAGATGCTTGGCCTGCAGCCGCACCGTTGCCTGCCTGTTGCTGGGAACCGCCGTTTTGCGTCTGGCCTTGAGACTGCTGTCCTGCAGCCGCACCCTTGGTTCCCTGCTGTTGGTTGCCATTGTTCTGGTTACCACCATTTGGTGTCGCCTGTTGTCCATTCTGCTGTCCCTGCTGCTGTCCCGTTTGTTGTCCAGCTTGTTGACCTTGTTGTGGAACCTGCTGTCCGGCGGCACCTTGAGCCCCCTGCTGGGGAGCCTGCACACCTGTAGTTCCCTGGGGTGCTTGTCCGTTGGTAGGGGAGATGCCGGCGCCTTGCTGAGGCGCTTGTCCGTTGTTCGTAGCAGTGCCAGTATTGCCGGCGGCAGCACCACCAGCTGTTCCGGTATTCTGGACTTGGCCATTGCCAGTTCCTTGAGCAAGAGCCTGACCAGCGGCAAATGCAGCGGCGGGGCTACCTGCTGGCGCACCAGGCTGAGTGGGGCCAGTCCCCTGGACACCACCAGCAACGCCAGTCTGGTCGCAGACAGTGGGACGAACTGCCTGCGAGGTAGATCCAGTAGAGGCCATGTAGGCATCAATGTTGGGGAGGACGTTAACGCAGCGGTTCTGGTTGATCAAGTCGATGTTACCAGCGGCAGCCATTCCCTGAACAGACATCTGCTGAAGCTTGTCGACGACATCCTGGAAGGAACCGCCAGTGGCGAGGGTGCTGTTGGCAGCAATGACATTGGGGTCCGCGCCGTTAGCAGCGTCAATGATGGCCTTGTGGTTGAGCTCATCGACCTCGGCGTTGAAGGCTACGGTAGCAGCCTGCTTGAACTGAACGTTGTTCTGGATGCTAGCTCCAGTGTTGAGGAAGTTAGAAACCATCGAGGTATCGGCCATCCAATTGGAGACCGCAGTAGCGAGGTCGTTCGCAGTGGGAGTTTGTCCATTTTGGATACCAGCGCCAAGTCCAGTCGGGGCATTGGTGGTGCCTTGCTGTTGCTGGTTTCCGGTCTGCGCTCCTTGTTGCTGTTGTTGCTGATTGCCGCCCTGGTTCGTAGTCTGTTGACCAGTCGTGGCGGCAGCAGTATTGCCGTTACCACCGTTGCCGCCCTGCACCTGGGCGAATGGGGCAGCGTAAGCTGCAGAGCTAAGGAGCGAGGCAATGAAAATGTACTTCATTTTGTCTGTGAGAACGGATCTGTCGAGTGGACTAAGATTATGAGTAGAGATATCAAAGAGTGAATGGAATGCTGAGGTTGTAGAGTGGAAAATATTAGTCTGTAGTGAGTGAGGAACCAGTCCGATGAAGACTATCAGGATGATGGGAGCTGTGGTATTTGTATCGCCTCTGTTACAACTTCGGAAAGCCTTGCCGTCAAGGCATGATGGTGGGCAGGCCTATGCATCGTAACAGTCTGGGGATCAAGCCCTAGGGCTCGCAGCCCTTGGCGTCAAGTCAGGTAGCACACGCTTAGCTCAATGGCGTAGTTTCGAAGTATGCCATATTTTGAATCAGGCGCTTCCAAATGGCCTTCCAAATTGCCGAGACCCTCAAAGCGAGCGATGCCGAAGTTCAGCCCTAAACTCAAACAGGACGTTTCGCAAGGTACGCCATGTCGTGCATGTAAGTTGGATTAGTTAATGATGTTTTGCAAGCCGATGTCATTGTTTTGACAGCGTCTGGGAACAGGTTTCGTCGGTCTTGGCGCCCGAAGCTTGCAGGCGATCATCAGATCTTGTGTTGAACCTTAGTCCAAACGCCCCACAATTGTTCCAGATCGACACAGGCAGGCTTCAGGTCGCCCAATTCCTGTTGCGTGCTCATACGACTTGATCGCGCTGTGTATCTGTGGATTTGATCCTTGAGTACGCACAATGATGCTTCATTAGACTGTAGAGATGTGTAAGCAAAAAGATTTACGATATTGCTTGTTGCAAACAATCTGTCAAGATAAACAAGTTTCGCGTCGAATCTGTTCATAATCGTATCCGTATTGCAAATATCTAAGATCTTAGAGGATCTTCAGAGGCGTGCAATCATTCATCGTCCCGTTTGGAAAATGCTGAGGGAAGCTGGAACCGGCAAGAAGCGCTAGAGTCCACTAAAGCACGGCGTAACAAGGTCTGGTGTATCAGTTGCAGGAGCAGCAGAGATTTGTAGGGAGGTTTATGCGACTGTAGCCTTCTCTTCTTACATTGCCATTCCAAATGCAGTTCGGCGTCCGAGAGAACTCATGATGCTCGATTTGAGAGTTGTGAAACTGCCGCTCGTAACGAGGGGAAGCCCATTGCGAGGGTGACTGATATACAAGTCAGTGCTGCAGGTCGTTCTGCCTGCCAGCATAGCGACTATTGCTTTCAGAGTCCATTTCGGTCTCGATCTTGCGGATAATGCGAGCGGGATTGCCAGCGACGACTGTAAACTCTGGGACGCTCTTCGTAACGACGCTTCCTGCGCCTACGACGCTGCCTCTACCAATCACAACACCAGGCAGTATGCAAACATTGCCACCGATCCAGCAGTCTTCGCCAACGTGGATCTCCTTGCCCAACTCAGGCCCGCTAAGGCCGTTCCGGATGGCTGGGTCGAGAGGATGAGTAGCTGAGTAGAAGTTGACGTTCGGACCGACGAGTGTGCGTGCGCCAATAGTAGTAAGACAGGTGTCGAGGAAGACGGCGTGGAAGTTGACAAAGACATGTTTGCCCAAACGCACATTATATCCATAGTCCATAGTAACCGGTGGGTTAATCCATGGTTCAGCCTCGAACAGCTTGGCGTCTTCATCTGTTGTAGGTGCTGGTAGTGGAAGAGGGGTTTCGTCTTGGATGATGCTAGGCAAAGTATAAGGACGTCTCTCGACAAGCAATCGAGCAGCCACACATACTCTCGAAACAGTTGGACTAGCCTGCGACGCGGTACATCACCGGCATCGTTGAAGCGTCTGCAAGCTTGCCTGCATCGTGCGCGCTCTGCTGTCAGCTCAGGCGTCATGGCATGGTAGAGCTCGCCGCAGAGCATACGCTGCTTGTTCTGCGAGATGTCCATGGCTGGCATGCAGGAAGCTGGCTGCCCGGCGCATGCTACCGAGGCCGGTGTGACGGTTGTGAAGGAGCACAGGTCGCGGGAGCTATGCGCGGGGCGCCAAGGCCCTCGGCTGTTCCCGAGGCCAGCCGGTCCTGGATAGTCGCTCACGCCTTGCTATTGTTCAGCCTCCGCAAGCCATGCGATCGGGGTTGTGCAGCAGGGCCCCTTCTTCTGCGCCTTGGTAGAACCATGTCTTGAACGCCATCGTCCATCCCGTCCTCGCCCCCCGAGCTCCCCGTACTTGACCTCTACCTGCCTGCCATCATCATGGCTCCGAACGGCTCGCTATCCCCCGGTGTCGATATTCTCCCGCCCAACGGAAATGCATCACGCGAGCTTGAGGCCTCAACTGTGGCGGCTAGGAGCCAGCATGCCATCGCGCCCGAGTTCTTTCCCCACGGCAAGCGCTCGCTTTGTGGCATCGCCGTGCGTGCTTTCTGCTTGGGATGCGCCATGGCTCTCGGCGTCGTCGGTACGGCTCTGCTAGCATACAACGGCAATCATTTATGGCGGCCTTTCATGTTTCTCAGCGCGCTGTCCATGTTCCACTTCCTCGAGTTTTACACGACGGCCGCGTACAACACCCCGGTCGCGTACATCTCCTCGTTCCTCCTCACCAACGGCGACCAATACCGACAAGCCCATACCATGGCTTTCATCGAGACTCTGGTGACTTCGTCTTTCTTTCCCGATTACCAATCGACAATCCACCCGCCGTGGGTCATCGCGCTGGGCATAAGCATGGTCGTGGTGGGACAAGCTGTGCGCAGCACAGCGATGATGCAGGCGGGTACCAACTTCAACCACCAAGTGCAGTCGCGTAAGAGCGATGGGCACGAATTGGTGACCCATGGACTGTACCGCTACTTCCGTCACCCCTCGTACTTCGGTTTCTTCTGGTGGGGCATCGGCACACAGGTCATGCTGGGTAACACTGTCTGCTTCTTGGGATACACAGGCGTGCTGTGGTATTTTTTCATGACACGCATTTCACGTAAGTCTTACACACACCCATGGCCCCAGTCAAGCTGCTCACCCAACCTAGACGAAGAAAAACATCTAATCGAGTTCTTCGGCGAAGAGTACAAGGTGTACAGGGCAAGAACTCGTGTCTGGATACCCTTCATGTAAGCGTCAACTGTGCAGCTTCCGGACAGTTTGGTCGTGCCAGCTAAGTAAAATGAATCTCATAATGCTAAGCTTCACTTCACAACCGAGTCACTTTCCGTCTGGATATATGCAACCTGTGAAGCTCTTTCGTGTTCATTTGCAAGCCAAGAGACGTGTCTGAGCATACGCAAATGAGCTTGTGTCATATTGACGGACTATCTGCATTTTCTTCACCATCTGCCGCTTGTCTCCTCGGCTCAAAGCGACTACACAATCATGCTTTAATGCCGCACTGCTGGTAGGAGCTCCCTGCTCGACAGTAATAGCCGTATGGCCAGCTTGCGTCGCTATATCGGCAATGTATCGAGGTGGAGTGCAAGTATTCTCACTTGCACAGCATTCAGCTTCGTCTTCATCACTGCCGTCTCATTGGCTGTAGGCTACCGCCAGGAACGGCAACCGCGTGTGGGCGCTCAGACTGTTTTTGTCTCCTGCTCTGTAACCCGACGTCCCCCCAACGGTTGCCCACGCCAACGCAGCACGTCTTGTCTCATGCCTGGCGAGCCCCATCCACGTCCTCGTATACGTAACAGCGAGGACAAACTCTACCAATCCTGCCTCGACGCCTGCATCGAGGGTATCGCGAATATAACGGTGAACAAGCGGATTGGTGGTACGTGCAGACTCTCTCACCTGCTCACGCGCCCTGCTCCACTAACCTTTCCCCAGCGACATCCACTCCGAACAACACAGTCAACATCAAAATCACTGCGCACGAGGGCAGTGATCTTGTAAGAAAGTCTGCTCCGGCTGCGCTCTCTCTTATATCGCCACCTGTATCGCCCGCGCGGGAGGAAGTCGTACGACACACCAGTCCACCTCCACTGTCGTCTGCAGCCATAAACATGGATCGCTCGAGGTACATGATCGCACCGCCGGCTGCCTCGCCATCTGGGGACGCACGCAGCAATCTCGCTGTTCAACCTGCAGCTTCTGCTGGCAAGTTGAAGCTCAAGAAGAACGCCGTCAAGATAGTCGGGGCTGCGGGACCAATTCCTACGACCCCGTCGCGATTCGCACCGCCCGCCCCGTCAGTGACATCATCGCCAGCTCCAGGCTCAGTCAAGACCATGCCCCAGGCTGTTGAAGGGTACGCATTACTACTTAATCCTTGGACTCCACTAATGTGCGTACAGACCAGCGAACGCCAATACCTCTAGAGCGTCCAAGCCCGGTCCCCTTCACAAAGAGGGCGCAGCACTTGCTTTGACTGCTCCTACATCGAAAGTGGTTCCGTCCACCAAGGAGGTCGTGAGAGCTACAACTGATGCCATGGACGAAGAATCCGCAATGGATGCACTTTACGCTCGCCTTAACAGCAAAACCATCCTAGGGCCTCGGACACCCGTAGGTCCCACGGTAGCAAGACCTGGCCAAACTGCATTCTCGTTTGGTGCACGTCTTGCTGAGGCCAAGGCAGATAAGATCAAGACGGATGATTCAGAGGCTGAGAAGGGAGGCATCCAGAAGTCTCCCGGTAGCAAGACCGCAGAACCGAGACAAGACAAGCTAGAGAGTGAGTACATGCGTAAGGCGACTGAGTACATCCAGGCGCTTCCGAACAGCACGGGAAACACGGCATATCTCGTCAAGGCCATGTCAAGGAAGCTCCACGACTCATACACGTCAACCACCAAGGTAGATGCTGGAAGCAACGAAGCTCTCAAGGCACGTCTAGCATTCGCAGTCGCCAACTATCTCAATAAGATATTGAAGAAGCGCCCGGAGTCACGTACAGCCGACTCAATCAAACAAACGCTTGGGGATATGGATGGAGATTTTCTCCGGCTGTGTGCCAAGCTCGTGGACGAGGGGTACGTCTCCTTGGAGACACTGACTGAAGTATCTGGTATCGTCGCCGCCATGCGTGATGTTCTGCCCAAGCCAGAGCAACCTACCACCACGTCGGTGGAAGCGCCTTTGACGCCAGCACCTTCTGTTGCGATGGGCTCTGAGAACAGCAAGCCCATGTCCAAGGACCCAGTGGATAGCATGAAGGGATGGCCGACCCAGGAGAAGCGCGAGAATCGTAAGTCCTTTTCCGTGCAGACAGAAATTTAGACTGACAAGACATAGCCGCTGCACATCGTACGTGCATCTTGAAGGGTGTTGGGGGGATTACCAGTATCAACCAGTTGCAGGCTCTTGTATGGGGTGGCAAGCTTGAGTCCATTTCCATGCCAGAGCCGGGCTCCTCGAACGCTCTTGTCAAGTTTCTTACACCCGAGGCATGCGACAAGTATCACAAGGACACTGCAAACGGAATCGAGATAGTGGGCGAGATGAAGAAAACGGTTGTCTTCGTGGAGAAGGCTGAAGGACCAAACTCTATCAACGATGTCATCCGCAACTGCATCGATGGCGAAGCGTCACGCTGCGTGCGAGCTATCGGCGCGAACGAGCACAACGAAGCGGCTCTTATGAAGCTCGCTCGGGGCAAGAGCGTTAGCAAGCGCGACGTTGATCGTATCAAGAGCGGAAAGACCGCCCGTGGTGTAAGTAACATGTGCGGACCCATGTCTGTATAACACTGACACGGCCACTCTAGCATTCGTACGTCGAGTTCCGCTTTGCAAACATCTACAACGCTCTCAACTTCAAGCGCGAACTCGTGGATAGTGAGGACTGGGAACATTGCACCATTGGCTATGCACCCGACCCGTGTGAGCTAGCCAAGGGTGTTCATTACAAGGATCTGGATGAGAAATAGAGCTGCATTGGTATACTCGACCAGACCATGTGCATCATGCTAGGCGGGGAGCACGGGCTGGAAGAGGTGGGCGAAACCCATTGTGTCTGCATACGAAGACTTTTGATGGGAGTGAATGCTCGAGTGCGGGAAAACAAAACGTGGGGTGAGTCGGGACATGTACCAAGTGCGATCGTGACGGCTTGAAGTCACTGAAAGCTGTGTTTGGTGTTCGCACTACTTCATCTTGCACGTGCAGTAATTAGTCAAGGTGATAGCACAAGTGGAAATCCTAGGTGTACTTTGCTTTGCTCATGTACGTGCTATTGTGACACGAGTGCAACACCGCTCGTGCAAGAAGGAAAGATCAAACAACTTGCCAAAAGCCATGGGAGCATACCTGGAAGACTCAAGCCCCGCTTCACAATCACAACACCAGGCAGTGGATAAGTACACTAATACACAAAAGAAGAATTACAATACCCCCCCTACCTAGAACTCTGAGAAGCCCAAACGCCTCGCTGCCCTCCCATGGTGTTCCTGGTTACTGTCATCTGTTCTCGCTTGCCGTCAAAAGGGGCTGCCCGGCTTCGCAGTCTTAGCGGTTGACGGCTGTGAAAGCTGCATCTGTCATGTCGGTATCACCGTTGTGCGGTGGAGGGGGCGCAGCGTCGGTCGCGGGCGGGCGCTGCTCATCGTAAGCCGGGTCGAAGTAGGCGCGCTGAGGGGGTGGCTGCTGTTGCGGCTGCTGTGCGTGCAGCGGCGGGAGCGCGTGCAGGGGAGGAAGTGTAGGAGGCGCGCCGTTGACAGCGGTGTGTGGACTGGTCGTCGTGGCAGCGCCAATGGCACCGAAGTAGCTGTTCTGGGGCCGTCCCGACGGGTCTGGTGTACTCTGCGCACTGCTCATAGGGTTGATGGCATGCGGCAGGGGGCCCAGTCCCAGTCGGCCCTCGGCGCTGCCACCAAGAGGAGGCGTGCCCTTCCTGTTGTGGCTCCTTTTGCTCCTCAAGGGCTTATCGGTTGGGGTGGGCGGTGGGCTGCTGCTGCGATCGCTGTCGTCGACATTGTACTCCATGTGCTTGTTCAGCTGCTCGAGCAGGAATGCGCGCTCGAGGCGCATCTTCTGGATGCCGCGGTTCAGGCGTGTGATGCGCAGGCGCGTGCCGTCGTTGTTCTCTTCAATGTCGGTTATGCGGCGGCGGAGGTCGATGCATTTGCGGTAGTAGGCGCCTTCGACCGAAGGAGGGAGGTCTTTGGACGAGACGGCGCGGGTCGCTGGTAGCTTGTTAGTGCACTGCGTCGTGGCCGCCTACGTGTGGTTTGCGACGCGCTTGAGCGCGACGGGAGTGCCTACGGGCTGGTGGCATCTTCGCGCCTTGTCGTGTTGTTGGGACGTAGACGATAGTACGTGCTGTGCGCCTGGAGATGATGCCGTATTGCAGTGTGTTTGGGTTCAGTGTGTTTGGATTTAGTGCGGTGATGTGGGTTTGCTGGTCACAGTCGGCGTTGCTGGTAGCTATGGTCTTGAGCTTGGTCTGTGGGGCCCGGGCTGGTTCCGAATAGTCTCATCTTGTGACATTCTTGGCGCGCTGTACAATTTGAACACTCATTTGACGAATTCCACTTCGGTCCTGCCGTCAACCTTATGTATGATAGACTACGTTGCTGTCCCTCTGCTCTAGGGTATACTCCCTGCAAGGTCCCTCGTGTTGCACCTTTGTGGTTATACGAGGTCACACGTGCAACGTAGAATATCTGAGTTGCTTCATGTAAAGAGCGCGCAGTCAGAAGACCCAAAGATCTGGCTGTGACAAAAGGCGTACATCAGCTAGTATAATGCCTATATTAGTCCTGAGAGTTGAGCGAAAGAACGGGGAAAAAACACCGCAAAGTCATTTTATCATCCTTGAGAACATGTACGAGTGATCAGACATGGACAAAATGTGAGGCGGATACCATGACGAAAGTTGGGTTATGTATTGTACAGAATGCTGTTAATTTTGGGTTCTCTTCTATATTTTCATGATCTATAGAAGAGTGCACCAAACAGTGAGCGATAAGTAACGGAGAAGGAATCTCCTTCACAGCTAATCTACAGCGTGACACTCGAGTAGCAAAGGTACAGTGACTGGGCAATGTGGAAAATTGAAGAACGAGGAGCATGCGATGCTCGATGGAGGGGCAGACGGGTGAAATGCTTGCACTAGTACTAAAGTATCTGAACTTCCAACTATTCCATATATACGATAACAGTATGGTCACATGGGAATCCTTCAATATTGCAGGTCAACTGCATTGTTGCTGCTGCTGCGTCTGGCCGAATGGAAAGCTCTTCGATAGACATCCGTGGCTGTGCAGACATCGTTTCGCTTTAGGCTCGCACGAAATGCCAGTGGGGCTTGCCTACGGGTATTTTGCCTGCTACCTCATGTGCTTTTGTTGATACAAATGACCTAGAATGCTTCCCTCTGTCAGTCCCCTGCCGCTTTTTGTATAGTCGCAACCATATCGCGTCGGCGTTGCTGTGACCCAGCGCTCCGCGTACGTCGTCTCTCGCTAGCACAGGGTCCAGCATGTCCAGCATTTCTTCGAAGCGCTCATCCCGCATCGTTACGTTTTTCGCAATGGCGCATAGCAAGGCGGTCAGACTGTTCCAGATCATCCGTGTAGGCGTATCAACGTACAGCTCCACTGGTGAAAAGTCGGCCGTAGGCTGCGAGTCCACGGCGAGCCTCGTCAGGCCAGTCCCGATAGCCTTGATCTCTAGCGACATCGGTTGGAAGCTGCCTTTCCTGTTGCAGTCGTCGTTCTGTCTAGTGCGTTCGTAGACCTTCCTGGTAATGTTCCATGCGTCATCGATCCTAGTTCGCATGAAATCTTTTCCGTGTTCACACATCAATGCTACAATATCGAGCGCATTTGATACCACGTATGCTTCCGAATCTTGTAGACGAGGTAGTAATACAGGCCAGAGCGTATTAATGAGGGGCAGGAGGGAGTTCTCATGTGCTGCAATAGCAGGTATAGTGGTACGAAGGAGGGACAGAAGCGAGTTCCGGAGGTTAGGCGACATGGTGGTGAGATAGTGCTGTGTCAACTCGGAGATTTTGAGGAGAATAGCAAAGGCACGTGGGGCGGGAGGGGAAGACTCCTCGGTGTGCGGGGGAGGCGGGCGACCGTTCTCCTCGTCCGTGCTATTGGAGTCGGTATCTTCTGAAGTCTTACCGACTTTCCAGGGCTTTCGTGGGAGTGCCTCCCTTGACGCTTGCTTCTCTTCCTCTTCCCGCTCTTGTGTCTCTACCTCGAACTTTTGAATTGCTTCGATGACATCGTTCATGACGACCGTTCTCTTCAGATGCACATGTTCCTCTTTCTTATTGTCGGCTGACACGGCAAGTTGTGGTGCTTTGACACCTTGTTCCGTCATGCCTTTCAAGACGTTGAAAAGCAGCTCCACAAGCTTAGGATAGCCATGATATCTCTCCAAGGCGTTGAAAATACTATCCACCAAGTCATCTAGGTAAGGTAGGAGAGGTGGGCCACAAAGCCTTATCATCATGAGTAGGACTTGTGGTGCTTGAGGCGACACATCGCCATATGCCAACTTTAGGCCAATTGCGTTGACAATGTAATCGACATTACTGACAACAAGCTCCCCTGCGTCCTTGTATCCCGAGGCCCCTGCTACGATATTGAGACAAATCAGGGCGTGCTCGCGTAGTGCGCTGTTGGAACTGCCAAGGTAATGCAGCACCGGATAAAGTACTTCACTCAACTCAGGGCGAAACTCGGTCTTGTACCGCTTCGCCTGCAAAGCTACCGTCTCCAGCGCTAATGCATATAAATGCCAATGGCTGTTGGTGTCCACAGTTCGCTGGTTCAGCAATGACAGAGAATGCGAGTACAAGTCATCCAAGACTTCCTCCCTCGGGTTTGGCGTTCCCAGATTCATGAAATCATCGACAGATGGATTGACTGATGCCATGTCTCTTACTAGATTGACTGAGAGCCAGAAGCTCGCCAAGCGCATCTCGGGCGCCCCAAGATCGACGGAATTGGTCAGGCCCTGAGCAACGGCCAACGCAGAGTTGGATCGCGCAAGTTCTTGAACTAATACTTTAAACCCCTTCATCATGTCTTCCTGGCCTTTGAATTGCATGCTGATTAGTGGGAAAGAAGACGACTCTGTCGAGCTAAATACCAGCGTACGACCAGCGACGAGACTGGTGTTGCGGTCGTTTATTTCTTCGAGCCCCCTGCCATGGATAAACACTGCAGACACGCCATCCCGAAGACTATCGGCCAGACGCTCATCTAGAATCATTGGATCTTCATCGAACAGGCGAAGCGAGACTGATATCTGATGTACGATTTTATGGCGGGTACGGTCGTCTTTTGATCGCATCAATCTAGGCAAGGCGACGATCCAACCATGCAAACTTTCGCGCAAAAGTTCGGAGAGATTCTGGTCTGCTGATAACAGTCTTTTGAGTTTGTCCTCAGTGGTGTCGGCCGGGGTCTCATGGCCTGCCAGATCGACCATGGTTTCGATAGCCATGCTTGTGCAAAGAGACAGTGATGTACGACAATCCCTTACGACGCAAAGACACAGAGTCAAGAGCGCTTGCCGTACCTCTTGCTTATCATGATCCCTCAATCTGAAGATATTGGCAAGCGCAATCTTCATCTGTGTTGCAGTTGCTTGTAGCCAAGCGAGTGATCGAGATATTGTGGTGCATCCGCCAGACTCATCCGACAGTAGTGTCTCGGGCAAATCTTTGGTCTGGGCATCGCCAAGTAAACGGACAAGAAGTGATGCAAGAACTTCCAAGCCTTGCTCAACAACGCGAAAGCCGGGTCGAACACTGCTACGGGGAGTCAATATTTTAGCCAAAGACGAGACTATCCTGGGCAGAAAGCTGGCAAGAGCATCGTCATCGCCAATCGCGCCGACAGTTTGTTTGAGGGCGCAAGTGGACTGCAGCTTGACGGTGTTGGAGTTGCTATCTGTGAGACGTTCG